GTGTGTGTGTGTGTGTGTGTGTGTGTGTGTGTGTGTGTGTGTGTGAGAGAGAGTTTAAATTTTAGATAGTAATTTTAATGCTTCAACTTGAACTAAACAAAAATTAGAAATGATTCCTTGGCTACTTAGTGTGTTTTCATGTAATATTGATGTTTTATTTTATTTTAGTTAATAAAGATATTGTAATGGATTTGGTTAACGATATTAACGCACACATTTATAGACACGAGTGCAGCTTCATTCCCATCAGTCGAGTGGACCGAGCGCAGGGGCTGATGGGAAGATTCTGGTGGATGCAGTCGTGCTGTGTGTGTGTTGCGCTGGACTGTGAGCTGCTGCTGGTGTGTAACGCACGTCTGCTTGCGTGTGCAGGGATGCAGCCGGTGTTCTGGAGCCGCGAGGATGTGTGTCAGTGGCTGCACTGGGCCGAGAGAGAGTTCGCCCTGCGGCCGATATCCAGCACCAGCTTCCAGATGAACGGGAAAGCCCTGCTGCTGCTCACCAAAAACAAAAGAAACTGAAACACTAGAGCAACCCTGGCAATAGTGCATCTGGGTAAACACAAGAAATTGCTCAATAAATCACCGCCCTCCTTCAGAGCTGGAGGCAAAGCTTATGATGTGTCATTTCGGCAGTCTTTTCATCAGTAAATATGAGGGCTCCTTCAGTGAGGAGTATCTCCATCAAACACAGAACTCCTCATAACACTCCGACAACTTCTGTTTGATGGCTCACTTTCAATGTAAATGTTAAAAAATGCAGGAGATGAGCATAAAATATTTTTGTCTTCAGCATGATAAATGAAGTGATGACAAGTAAGCCTTGAGCTTTGGTTTTACCTATGCAGTGTCTCTCTCTATGTGTGTGTGTGTGTGTGTGTGTGTGTGTGTGTGTGAGCGTGTGTGTGCGTGCATGTGTGTGTGTGCGTGCGTGCATGTGTGTGTGTGCGTGTGTGCGCGCGCGCGTGTGGTGTGAGTGTGAGTGTGAGAGAGTGTGTGCGTGTGGACTTCCTTCTTGAGAATCATTTCCTTGAAGTTCTTTCAGGAAGCTCTTTAAAATAGGACACAATTTTCATGAGACAACATGAAGACGGACGACTTCCTTCAGATGATTTACAGTCGTCTCATGTTTGAGTGTCTGTCTGTCAGAACATCTGATTGTAAAGTGTGTAATGAATAGATTGCACAATGACAAAAAAGTTAACACTATATAAATATATATATATATGTCTGTGTGTGTAATTTACAATATATGAAATTTTTTTATTTTTTTCATTTTTATTGTATTAATTTTATTATTTTGTTAATTTAGTTTAATTCATAAAATGCCATTTATTTTATGAATTAATTTTATTCATGTGTTTGTTTCATTTATTTTATTTATTTTGTATTTTTTTTATTAACTCAGTTAAATATCTTATTTAATTTTTTTGTTTACTTATTTCATTTCATTTTGCAAATGTCAGGTGTGCAAATACAGACGGTGCATTGCACAGAAATGTGGACGGCCTTATGCATGTCCAGATGCATCACGCAGCAGTGAGTGAGAGTTTGTGCTGCTGTTGATTGCAGGTGATGTTCTGTACGAGCTCCTGCAGCACATTCTGAAGCAGAGGAAGCCTCAGTCGCTCTCATCGCCGTTCTTTCCCATCGGCTCCTTCCACACGCTGACCGACGCGCCGCTGCAGACGCACAAACTCGAAGGTGAGCTCTTCTTCTGCTTCTGTGAGCGATTGCTGTGGCTGAAAACACTGGCGCTGCGGTTTAACACGATCCTGGAGGAAGTGCCTGTCTGGAATGTTGACAGAAAAACCGGTTTGACGAGGAAGCGCTGCTGTAGTTTAGCAGGCGTTTGACGAGTATGAAGACACAAACAACAGGAATATATGAGAAGACTTCCTGAAATACGACCACACATGTCACATGAGGCATCTAAACACACGCTCACCCTCAGCAGATTCATGTCAGAACATCACCAGAATGTGAATGAAGAAGGTCTCTGGGATCTTCTAGTGGTTCAGGTGTGAACTGCAGTCACTGCTGCAAAAACCAGAAAGTTGTTTTACATGGGTCAAAAGTGACAGATTTCTTTTGAACTCTCTATTCATCTGTGAATCCTGAAAAATAAAATGCATCACGGTTTCCACAAAAATATAAATGTTCTCAACATGGATAATAATCAGAAATGTTTCTCGAGCAGCAAATCAGCATATTAGAATGATTTCTGAAGATCATGTGACACTGAAGACTGGAGTAATGATGCTGAAAATACAGCTGCGCATCACAGAAATAAATTACAGTTTAACACATATTTACATAGAAAACAGCTGTTTGAAATTACAATAACATTTCAAAATTTTTACTGTATTTTTATTCAAATAAATCCAGCTCTAGTGATCAGAGGAGACTTTTCACAAACATTAAAAAATCTGTATTTTAGTATTTTAATATAATTCAGATAGAATTATATATATATATATATATGGTATATATATATTTAAAAAATCATTTTAATTTTTAGCTAATTTTAGTAACTAGTTTTTGTCATTTTATGAGTTTGTTTTAAAAAAAACATTTATATAGTTTTTAGTCATTTTTATTTCAGTTTTAGCTTATTTTAGCACATGAAGTAAAACTAAATGCAAGTGAGAAATGTTGCCTTGGCGGCTAGCTGAAATATAATCAGTTTACATGGTTTTATTTCGGTTAAGGCAGGGTGGGTGATTTGGTTTAAAACCATTTTTTTGTTACGCTGGTTAAAAGTCTCTTCACATCCCGATAGCAGCCACTGAGTTAAGTGCTCTAAATGTATTTCTATAGTCTGTGGAAGGCGTAGGACCATTAAATGTTCGACCAATCATATTCCTCGGTCCGAGGGCTACGATTGGCTGTTCTGCCCGCCTGTCAGCGTATGTATTTGCATACCTAAAATTATAAAAATGAGGCGTTATTATTAGGGCTGGGTTTTGACACAAATTTCACGATTCGATTCTCATTCACAAGCTTGCGATTAGATTCACTTTTATGGTCACTGAATATGTTTTTCTGAGGTAAATGTGACGTTACATTGTTTACTAGCCGTTATATTGACGTCTTTAGGCGGGTCAAACACTGATCGAGCGATTACATGAGACAGGAGGGATTTAAGAATCGATATCGTTCCGTAACAATGAGAATCGATTAATTTCGAGATATTGATATTTTTTCCCAGCCCTAGTTATTATTGTAATATCATGCGCTCTGTACTGTAATGTTTTCTCACCAGTGAGTGAGATGTGAGGTCATCTGACAGCATTATCGCTGGTTAGCCTCTGCTCTGTTTGAGCGCGGTCATGTTTTCAGGAGGAGGCGTGGCTTTGGAGACTGATTTGCAGGGAGGGTGGGATCTTATGCTGTCAAAGCTAGCTTGCTATTCCCAGCTTCTCCGAAATCACCTACCCTACCTTTAATGTTTATTTTATTTCAAGTAACTAAAATGTTTTTATGGTTTTAGTTTGACTGAACAGTCAGTTCTTCATATTAAATGTGATGTTAATTCTCTCTCTGCGTCTGTCAGAAACGGTACGCCGGCCGTCGCGCGCCACAGACACTCATTCCCTGCAGCCGCCCACCATCGAGCTGCGCCATCGCTCACGGTCGCCTCATCACCTGCCCGCAGCACTGCGCTCGGCCGAGGACCTCCAGCAGGCGTCCTCACAGCTGCCCGACAGCAACCACCATCTGCTGGAGGACGTGTACCCGCTGTCTGTGTCTCCAGGCACGGCTAACGGCCACTGCATGCTTCCCCGCGACCCCCCGCGGCCCGCCAGCCCGTGTCAGGAGGAGGCGGCTCCGCCACGCGTCATCCAGCTCATGCCCAGCGCCATCATGCACCCGCTGCTGAGTCCGGGCCGCGGGCACACGGCAGGCGATTTCAGGCACGGCCGCGGCACGCCTCAGGAAAACGGCCGCGAGGGCAAAGGTCAACAGCACAACGCTGTTCACTACGCCTCGCACGGCCTAAACCTCGCGGCCCATCAGCTCCCCCTGCAGGACGAGCGCCACTACCGCAACCACATCATCATGCCCGAGGAGCAGGCCACGCCCCTGGGCCGCATCGCAGGTGAGACCCCGCCCCCTCTCTGCTGATTGGTCAGTGATGGCTGGTGTGTGATTGTGATTGTGGTGTTGCGTGTCAGACTGCAGGCTCCTGTGGGATTACGTCTATCAGCTGCTGTCGGACAGTCGCTACGAAAACTACATCCGCTGGGAGGACCGCGATACCAAAGTCTTCCGCATCATGGATCCCAACGGCCTGGCCCGCCTGTGGGGGAACCATAAGGTACCAGACGCCCAAAAAAACCTGCCGGATTTACTTCTGAATAAAAAATTTATTAATTAAATTAAATTAAATATAAAATATATTTAAAATAAATTAAAATAAAGTTTAATTATAAATTTAAATAAACAATTAAATATTAAAAACAATATATTAACTATTAAATTAAATATTAAAAATTAAATAAAATAACATTAGAATGATATAAAATAAAATAAAGTGTAATATTACAAATTGAAAATAAATAATAATTAAATTAAATTAATTAATTAAATAAAAAATGAAAATAAAATTCAATCATTAGCATAAATTAAAATGTAAAAAGTAAAATAAATTATAATTGAAGTTTAATTACAAATTTAAATAAACAAATATTAAAATAATATATGAACTATTAAATAAAAAAATAAAAAATGTAATAAAATAACATTTGATTGAGATAAAATAAAATTAAGTTTAATATTAAAAATTTTAAATTACAAATTAAATATAAAAAATAATTTACAATTAAATTAAATGTTAAAAATTAAATTAAATATTAAAAATTACCAATAAAATCATTAGAATAAATAAAATTAAAGTAAGCTTTAATATCGCAAATTTAGAATTTAAGTATTAAAAATTTAATCAAGCATTACAATTTAATAACGTTAAAAAATTTTATAGAAAAGAAATAATAAGGAATTGGTCATTTAAAAAAAAAAAATGGATATTAATAAAATCTTAAATTGTGGAATAGCCATGGGAATTACTATAGTGAATAGAAGTTTTATCTATATCGTTTTTATTTTGGTATCATTTATGTGCTATTATAGCTTTTGTTAATATTTTGAATTGGTTTTCATTTCAATTTTAGTTGAACTTTAAGTCATTTTTTTTTATGTTTTTGTCAGTTTTATTTTTTTTAATGTGTATATAGTTCTTATCTTTTTTAATGTCTAGATAGTTGATGTTAAGTTTAAGTTTTAGTTGTTTTAGTACTTCAAATTAAACCAAACGAAAATTAAATATTGCCTTGGCAACTTGTTAGCTAACAATTTAACAATATATTTTATTTTATTTCAGTTCATTTTTATTTATTGATTTTTTGATGGTTTTAGTTAAGGATAATAAGCCTGGCCTCTGCTCTGCTGTAATGTTTCCTGAGCTGAAATGCATTAGTGTTGTGATGTGTTGCTCACACAGAACAGGACCAACATGACGTATGAGAAGATGTCGCGGGCGCTGAGACACTACTACAAACTCAACATCATCAGGAAGGAGCCGGGACAGAGACTGCTGTTCAGGTCAGGACCGTCAGTCTGTCGAAGCCCATCCTACTCGCTGTTTTTTAGTCTTATACTTCACGGTGACAATCATTTTAATGACAAACGATGCTCTTTTTTCAAATCAGATAGAAATTGTTGGTGCAGCTTTTCTCTCTTTGGTAAGTATATTGTACGAAGATCTGTTGCGATTTGTATAAACGTGGGATTATTAGAATGCTGGTGAAAATGTGATTCAATTCTATAATAAATTTTAATGAGTGACACAGGTGTGTGTACTGAGTTTATTTGCTGAGTGTGTGTTTGTGTGTGTGTGAAAGTGAGAGAGCGTGTGTGTGAGAGAGAGAGTTTGTGTGTGTGTGTGTTGTGTGTGTGTGTGTGTGTGTGAGAGAGAGAGCGAGAGTGTGTGTGTGTGTGTGTTTGTGTGAAAGTGAGAGATTGTGTGTGTGTTTGTGTGAAAGTGAGAGATTGTGTGTGTGTGTGTCCCATTAGAAAGCTCTAAACATGCTCACTGTGTTTACTGAGAGACTTTACAGAGACATTGATTCTGGAAGTTAAAGCCAGTGTTCATTGCGGTTTGTTTATAACGCACTAGCTGCTATTGCTAAACGGTTAACTAATGAACATTCTGAATAAAACGAGACTGTTAAGACAGTGCTTTTATACAGGACGTTTTGGAGGTAAACGCTTCCTGGTTTTTCTTTCAGCTTCTACACAAACCCTTTATTCGTGTTTAAAACTCGTGTAGTGAAAATGAGCGTGCAAGACCAGACGCGTCCGCATGATGGCGCCACACGCAAACATTCAGCGGGACTGATGATAAAACACCCAATAACACTCACAACTGCGCTGCTACCATGAACCGTGATTATATACTGAAAAACACCATGATTGTGAATGATCGCCATGATCCACGGTACTGCAGTGCAATGCATAAATTGCTGGTATAAGAATAAACGCCGACAATCATCGTGTGCTAAGTTAACAGGGATCATACACAAGGTTATCTCAAGTTATGAACAAACGTTCCTCCAGTAACGTTAATAGAACGTTTGTTCAGATGTCTCTGGTCTTTATTAGTCTTCTCAAAACGTTAGCATAAAATTGTTATTTAGGCTATAGGCTACATCATTCATGGATTTTTTTTTCTTCAGTCAGACGGTTTTCTAATGTTGTTTAAATGTTACTACTACTTTCAGAAAGTTCACAGAACATTCAAAAGTAACATTCTCATACTGTTTGCAAAACGATGCAGTGAAAATTCCTTTAAAAGCTTGTGTAACTATAAGAAACAATGTTTTTAAAACATTTAAAAATGTTAACTGTTTAGAAATATGTCCAGATAGCCACGTACGTCTGCAAGACGTCTGTTAAAGATCTGGAAAGCATCTGCTGTGCACAAACATCTGATGAGATGTCAGTTTCTAAATCACAAAGACATCTTCTAAACGTCTGTTTGACATCTGATAGGAAACAAGTGCTGTGATAGTACCATATAATAACACGGTATTTCAAAGAAGCATGGTAGTACCCTGGTATTTTTTGTAAGTGGTGAATGCATTTGTATTTATTGCATTGCATTGCAGGTTTGAGAGTTTGCTTATATTTTCATTTGTGTTTTGATATAAAACGAGCCATCCCATTAGTTCGAGTTTTCTGGAATGGCATTGATCCAGTCTGATGAGATGTCAGTTTCTAAATCACAAAGACATCTTCTAAACGTCTGTTTGACATCTGATAGGAAACGTCCTTTAGATGTATTGCAGATGAGCAAACGCTCTAAAAAATACGTCTTGCAGATGTAAATGCGACGTCAAATAGACGTCTCCGTGATGTATGTGTGCTGTCAGTGTAATAAGAAACAGTTTAGAGATTGATTAGGCCTATTTGATAACTAACAGCATAAGTTTTGTTTTAGACCTTCAGTCAGCCTTCAATTGACGTGCCACAATATGGTTTGTTTTGAGGCATTTTTTGTTTATTATTAGCGTCGTAACAACATCATTCAGTGGTATAGCTATTTGTTCAGCATACCTGACATAATCCAGTAATTTTATGTTCATCTGATGCTTCTCCTTGTTTGGGAACGTTCAGAGAACATCCGAAAATAACATTCTCATAATGTTTGCACAGTGGTATATGGAACATTACTTTAGTGTTCTTTTAACCGAGATTTAAAGAAAAAAAAACGGCCGTTTTGAATATTCGAAGCAACGTTGTAATGGAAACGTTAGCTATAGCGTCTAAACGTTCTTGCTATTTATCTGCGGTAGCCTTAGAATGTAATGTAAATTAATTGTAGTTGTGTGTGTGTGTGTGTGTGTGTGTGAGAGAGAGAGAGGTTTGACTGTGTGTGTATTTCAGTCAGTCAGTGTGTGTGAAGCTCAGGGAAGAGCTGCATCTGTTTCTCTCTCTCCATCTTTTTTCTTTTTTGCCTTCTATCTTTTTTACTGCTCATAATTAACATCATAATTTATTCAAACAGGAGACGCGGGAACCGCTCAGCGGAATAATCTCGTTTGTTCAGTTCTTGGACGGTTAGTGACGGTTAGTGACGGTTAGGCGCTCAACTCGCGCGCGAATCTGAATCATGTGAAGCGGCGCTGACTGAACAGAACCGAACAGAACCGAAAGGAAGCGGAACCCTGGAGCGACCAAACCCCGATCTCCCGCCGGACTGATCGAGCTGATCGGATGGATTGATCCGGAGCGGCAGGTGCGGCAGGTACGAGCTCATTCATGCCGCTTCTTCTGTCAATCAATCAATCAGAACTCCGAATAAACACAAAAAACAGTTTAGAAATATAAAAACGAGTTAAAAATGTATTATCGATTAATTATTTGGTGAATGACACCATCAGTTTAGTTTTAGATATTCTTGCTAACACATAAAACGCCTTACGCAAATGAACCATGGTTTTATTATAGTAAAAGTGTCTTCTTTTTTTGGCATATTGATTATCATATCATAACAAAAATAAACACCGGTATTCGGTATGAACCGGTATACCGCCCAGCACTACTGTAGAGCAGAGCTGAGGAACCGTATCTTACGGAAATGTCTGGATAAATTCAGTTCCGTTCGTGTTGGGACTGTGCTGACTGAGAATAATGCAGAGCTTTCTCTAGTCATGAATCATGTGTTTCAGTGAAGTTAAACTCGGGAGCCAGAGACTGTGAACGTAAATAAGCAATGTGCATTTCAGGAGAAATCACTGTGAATGTCAAAGTTAGCTAGTTAGTAATTAATATTCAATCCTAAACAAGTCTTTCCAAGTTTTTCCAGTTAATCAATTCAATTCCAGATCAGTGTAACACAGAACACATGCAGATTTCCAGTATGCATGCCAAATACAGTAGTTAAAAATCAATAAATAGTAATTGTTTCTTCGTATTATTTGATTCAAATTTAGGTTAAAAAACACATTGTTGGAACATTTTTTGGAATGTTTCTAAAAGATTGAAATGTCCAGTTTTTTTTGTTGTGATTATAGCATTGTTTAAAGATTACAAAACATTTCTTACAACTTATTCTCTCGCAAAATGGAACGTTATCTGAACGTTTATTTTTAAAATTGTAAGAATTTTGAAAAGTCCAGTTTTCTTGTCATGATCACAACGTTATTTAAAGGTTACAAAAAAGTTTCTTACATTCCACTAACTTTATTTTTTACCCAAATTATAACATTATTTGAACGTTTATTTTTTAATATTCTAAAAATGTTTTTTTTCTTGCGCGACTCAAACGTTACAAAGGTTACAAAAAATGTGTCTTAGAACGTTCATCAAATACAAATAACATCATAACGTTTTGATCCCAGAATGTCTTCTCTCAACGTTATGAGAACGTATATCAAGAACGAAAGCTGGATAACCGGATTCATTTTGAGTAAACGAAGAGCGTGACTTTATCAGGACAGTCAGGCTGAATTTAGATTTTTAACAAAATCAATTAACAAACATTATAATTTCAAGTTTTTGAATTTTGTTCATTTTTGGGTCACACTTGATACATTCAAAAGTGATGAAGCCTTGAAATGTAACTTTTTTTCTTTTTCAGGAAAATCAATGGTGATATAAAAACTGTATAAATATTATTGAACAAAATATATAAGTTATTTTTGTCATTTTTGACCACAAAGGTACTAAGTGTTAAAAATTTTTTTTTTCGACCCTATGCGAATCACGTCCATGATTTTATTGTGTGCTCACAAATGCGACAAAAGTCACCAAGTGTCACCTCATTCCGATGAAGCTACGATTTTTAGAATTTCAAAATGTAACATTTTCTGTTCAAAAGTGGACGAAGGGGCACAGATTAAACTAGTTAGAAACAAATATATAAAAACAAGCCAAAAAGCTTTGATACAGAACACAAAAGTGACTATTATGTCATTATGTGACTATATTATGGCTATTATGAGGAAAGAAATACGACCGGCGAGAGCATGAAAAATAGCCGACTGTAATAGCCGTGTACGCATAGACTGCTAAGTCTCCGCCTCCGACGCTGTAATTACATCGACTTATTTTCTTGTTTTCTCCATTCACCGTGGTTATTACGCTGCCGATGTGACACAAACACCTGAAGCCTGCTAATGAAGCACAGAGAGGCTTCCCGAGATCTGTGAGCTGTGGCCGTGTGTGTGGCTGCTATTATTGGCCGTCCTCGTCACCTTGAGTCCTGCATTAATCTGGACTCGTGTTGGTCTCTGAACACATTGTGAGCTCGACCCTGACGACACGGCCTCCGTCTCTTTGGGTTCAGACTGAATTTGGATGCGCTGAACTGATTCACGAACACGGACGTCCGCGGAAAAACAATACAGCTAACCATCTAATCAGAGAAAAACTGGACATTTTAACTGGACATTCAGTATTAAAAACAAACATTCAAATGATGTTATATTTTGGGTGAGTTAAAGTTAGTTAGATCTTACGTTGTAAGCGGTGTTGCGGAAAGTTACTTTGAAAAGTAACTAAAAAGTAACTTAGTTACTTTTTATGGTAATGCATTCCGTTACTTTTGTATCACTTTTTGTCACCTGGGCTGGGCTTGTTTGTTTGAAAAGTTATATTTTTCCGAACTATAAACGCCCTTTCACACCAAAAGTGAAATTAATAAACAAAGTAACATGCGTTACTTTATTTAAAAAAGTAACTCGGGTATTTTCATTGTGAATTTAAAAGTAATGCGTTACTTTACTAGTTACATGACTTGTGTTACCCTCAACACTGCACTGTAAAAAAATTCCATAAAATTTACGGTAAAAAAACGGCAGCTGTGGTTGCCGGAATTTTACTGTAAAAAATACGGTAGCAACATTTTAGGTTTTACGGTTTTAACTTAAATTTACAGTTAACTACCTTACTGTAGCATTTTTACAGTCTTTTACCGTTAAATTCACGGTAATTTTTTACAGTGTGGTTGTAAGAAATGTTTTTGTAACCTTTAAATGACGACATTTTAATGTTTTAGTAACATTTAAAAACAACATTCACAATGCTTTTAGAGCCCAAATTTGTCACCTGGAGGACAGACTCTCCCATAACTGTGTTCAATCAAACGTCACATATTCATCTGTCATTTGGTAATAAACTAGTCGAATAATATTCATGTGACATATCTGCTGTAGTTTATGTATTTACAGGCTTTCTCTTCAGCTGATGTCATGTTAGTAAAGACAGCTTGTTTAAAGTTTCTGCCTGTCAAGAAATTCAAAAGCAAAAAGTAAAATGCAATAATGAAGTATGAATAATTGATTTCTTTTCCTCTTGCCCTTTTCCTGACTTTGTTCAAAACATCTCATTTTACTTCTCAGGTACTGTAGATATTTGTACTGGAAAACAAGACAGAAATA